GCGCTTGTTGTCGTCGTTTTGCATCGCACTAGTGCACACGAGCATGGTGTACAGTTCCAGCATATCGGGTGTCCGTTCGGCTGGTGGCTTGGCTAGTAGCTTTGGCTTCGAGATGGTGTGCACTGGCAGGTGTAGACGCTTGATACCAGGAGGTAGCGGGAAAAGCGTCAACTTAATGGGAATCTGTGTCTCAACGCGCGATTTGGAGGGTGTCGGGTGGATCGTCAACCGACAACCACGGCTGAGGAAATCAAAATTCGGCTGAGTAAAAATCGGCATTTGTTGCGGCATCGGGACCGGAAGACCATCGTGTTGGTGGTATTGCGGTTGCATAGGCATATTGGCAACCATCTGGTGCGCCGCAGGATCCAGCTTGCCAGGCCAGAAGCCTTGAGGGTTCATAGCACCCATTGCGGCAGCGTTGAAATCTGGTGCGCCGGGCGAGGGCGAACTGTTGAAGAAGGCTGACGGGGATGCCTCATGACTGGTTATCATGTTTTGTGACATTGGAGAGCATTCTCTCGAGTTTGTCATCTTCAATCCATTCATGGGCTGTGATATGGAGTATTGCTGAGTCGGGTTAGCTGGGTTCTGTTTCTGTTGTGTTGCGCAGCGAAATTCCACTCACTGAGTTCCGCTTGCCGTGATTTGCGTTTCGGGGATTGCCCGGAGCGATGGTTTTTGACGGTCCATTCGTGTGAATGGTGGGCATCTCTGGCGACTCCATGCTCATGGCACCGGCTGCGTTGGGACTACTTGAAGCACTCTCAAAGTCAAAGGACTCGTCCATAAACTTGTCATCGTTCAAATCCAGGCCGTCGGGCAGCGTCGCGTCGGCATTTGCGCCGAACATGAAGATACTGTCTTCTGGACGACCGACAAAGGCCGAGGCGTCCCAGTCGTGCTTGACGTCGGCTCCATCGGTCATCATTACGTCGGCGGTCTTCCCTGAGGCGGAGCTGGCGGTCCTTTTCGAGGACGCAGAGTCGGAGGAAGAATCTCGGAAGGAGTCGATGAGGGAGTCGGGTGAGCCAGCGGCGACGGTACCGGTAGTCAGCAGGGTGGCTCGGGGTTCTAGCGACTTTGCTTCGTGAAGCGACTGAGGGAAATCGGAGATTTTGAGGGTATCGTGGGCGTTGAGGTCGAAATTTGTTGGCAGAGGACTCGAGTCACCGAACGGATTGTTCTCGTCGTATTCCAAGAACTCGTTGAATTCGCCGGTGGGGGACATTCCCGGAACGGCTGGCATAGGGCTGGCACCGATAGCGGCACCAGCAGTCGTCATACCTTGGCCAGAAACAGTGATGATGGATGAAAGTTGTGTGCGTGTTGTGTGAGGCCCGACGACGACGGCGACGACGACGGAGATGGCGACGAAAGGGGAGGAGGTGAAAGCTCGGTCTGGGGATGTTGTGGGGAAAAGGGCGTCTCGTGGTAAAGTGGTGTAGACCAGGCGGTGGAGTGGGGGCCCACCGTCCAGTGTCCCTCTAATGCGAGTCCGACCCGGATTTGCGCTGGGCGAGGTGAGTTTGTGTTTGATTGTCGCACTGGGTTGGAGCCAGGATGTGCGGCGGATACACGGTGTAACCTGTTGCTGACGAGCGGCCGTCGGGGCAATTGGGTAATAATAGTCCTGAGAAATGGTCGGTGGTTGAGCGTTCGGAGGGGCCCTGTAAATCCTTCCTCTTGTTGTCTGTATTTGTTCCTTCGTACGGTGCGGAGCTTTTGTGCGTGGGTTGGGTGCTTGGGATTTCGTAGCAGATAGGGTGTCTATCCTAAGAGCACATTGCTGCGGCGCCGGGGAACGCAAATGTCTCTTGTTTTTCCCAGTCGTCTTTCCTTCTTCTCGCTGGGTTGTTCTGTCGGGGACTTTGGGGGGTGGTTGGAGCGAATGCAGTTAGGGCGTTTCTTGTTCTTTTTCCCTCTTGCTATTCCCCAGCCTAAGAGGAGAGTGATAGGTAGTATCACTAGGTAGGTAAAGTGTCCGTAGTTCAGGTTTACGATGAGCAGAGGGAGAAAAAAGGTACGATAGGTGAAAAATTAAATAAAATAAAAAAAAAGGCAGGCGAGGGCGGAAATTGTATGCCCAGGAATTGGAGTCTGCACTGGTGCGTGTACGTGCGTGTGTGTGAGCGGGCAGCGCTCCAGTCTCTCTAGAATGTCCAAGTCAAGGCGGTAACAATGTCTCAAAAAGCGGCCAGTCCCTTGGAAAGCGGTGACTCGAAATTGGGCTGGGCGAAGTGAAAGAGACAGGGGGATGGATATGTGAAGGGCGGTTCGAATCGGGGTGCAGATAGATGAAGCCAATCAATAAGGTCAACGCCCGTCGTTCCAGAGTGTAGTGTAGGTTCCTGGTTGTATGTGTCCAGAGTCCAGACCGATTGAGTTTGGTTGCAAATGCAGCGACCGTTGTAAGAAGAACGACAAGAAGCAGACGAAGAACAATAACAACGAGCAGACAACGAGGACGACAAGATGAGCGGATGGATGTCAGCGATGACAGCAGGCGGCTATCGACCGGTATTGTGTGACCTTGATGAACGAGCGCCGGCCCCCGGTGACCGGAGACGATGATCTGAAGGCTACAACTTTCGCTGGATTTACAGGCGACACAAGATGATACCCAAGGGTTGCAGTGCTCGGAGTAAGCACCGAGCCACTGGCATCAAGATACAACTGCAGCACACAGAGGGGAGGTAGACGTAGAGTAAACAGTAGACACAGACGCAGAAACGACGAAAAGAGCACAGTTGATGGTGAAATGGAACAAATTGTGGACCGGGCGAGTTTTGATCGTTTGGTGATGTGTACCTTGGGTGGGCGTGTGTGTGTGTGTGTGTGTGTGTGCTGCTTCCGTGTGTGTCCAAGTTGCAGCATGTAAGGCAAGGTGAAGGTAAGTTACCTATCCCGGGCAAGGTCTTAACTGATAGTAGAGGCGTGGCTGGATCATTTATCAATGTACTTTGTATGCGTACAAGCTGAGGGAACACGGCACGTTTGAATACTTGGCTTCAATGGATGGCTTATCAGGCTTCCTTGGGTATTCCGGTGTCCAGAAAAGCCTGACGCAAGCTGCGGCGAAAAGGTGTAATTACGGTAGGCAAGGTAGACAGTTGTTCACGTATATCACTCAATCTTGGGACTGGACGAATACGATGAGGATCGGTCTGAAGCTTGTTCGCCATCAGGCCGTCCCATTCTCCGAGACGGGCTCGCTTGCTGTGCGTGGATGGGAGCCAGAGCCAACCTGAGGGGTGAGCTGAGAAATGGTGGTGTGCGCCTTGTCATTCTCTTTCTCATCTTGCAGCGTCTTCCTCGATCACACCTTGCCTCAGATAATGTGGCACTGTGGTCTCCCATCCTCTGTGAATACGTACAAGTGAAAATGGCAGGGACGGACGAGGAGATGGCGCTGCAACTCGGGGGTTGGAAGGGACGTCGGGCAGATATCCATCTGCCAATGGGAATGAGAACGAGATAACCAGATTGGCTGTGCGACTTTGCTGAGAATGCCATGTATCCGTATGGATGGATCCTAGAGAGTTGGTCTTGCGTCTTGCGTCCTGCACTTGCAGCTGGCGTTGTGGCGTTGGATGCCCAGTGCTCAAGCTTCCCGTTTGGGCCTGATACTCGTAGAGGTAGCCGCACACTGAGCACGCTAGATTCATCGAACTCTCCTGCCGGTCTGCATGTATCTGCATGTACGGAGTATGTGCGTCTGCTCGGAGTTGGAGCTGTTGCTGAAGCGGGAATTGACTGACGCCCTGTGCTCTTCCTTTATTTCTCTCGTCTACGTTTCCTCTCCAATGGAGATCAGTGTCTGGTCTGTCGTCTATCTCAGCACCCGTATCTGTAAGGTATCCATCATCGTGCGCGCGCGCCTATGCCTGGGTTGCCAGCCTGCCTCGACCGGGAACAACGCAGCAAAAAGACAGACTCGCCTATGTCCACTGTCCCCTTTCAGCTTGCGTCTGCATTGGTAGAGATTTATTCATTGCAATGGAAGTTGGTGCAGGAACATAGTCGATTAACACTGAGGTGAGTGTGCAGTGAAGTCCCAGGTTGCAAAAGGTTGGTTGATGAGGCGTGGAAATTGCTGAGGAGGGACCCGCAAAAAAACTCATCGACGGGAGAAGAATAGAGGTACGTATCGCAGGTGCAGGTATCTAATTGGCCGTGTGTCTGCGGCGGAAGACTTACGCGAACGCGCCGTGTGGCACCTGCGCCACGCGCCGCCAAGACAGATGGCAGTCCTCTCCGAAAGCTCCACTCGGTGCCCTGAGTCCACTCAAGCCACCCACTTCCTGGCCAATCATACACTTGTCTCGCGACGGTTCCTTGCTAGAGCCTGAGTACAGTGTGAGAAGTTTTCATTCTTCCCGTCGACTCTCGAGACATTCTCACTCACATCCCGCGTCGCCCGATCCCTTGGCCGTACCAACCGACCTCCTCCCACCACGGTACCACCCACCATCCATCCACCTACATCGAAAAGACTGAGACTGAGGGGACTGATAAGCAAACCAGGGCATCAGCACATCAACCCCCCCAACGCCAGCGCAGGGCAGCGCAGCTAAAACACGCGCGTCCCGATGGCGGATGGCCCCTCCGGTACGCAGGACGGATACCTGGTAAATTATGACATTGCTCTGCGAGATGAGCCTTTGGGTCTTTCGCTTCCATTGGCCGCTTACCTAACTAGCCTTACTGTGGTTCCAGTGTCTGCTTACTGTCCGCGGATACGTGTACGGAGTACCAACAGCAAAGTCACGAACATCACCCTGTGCAGCAATTCTGCCTGCCCGCCTCGAAACCCACTTCAGCCCAGATAGAGCCACATTCCTCGGGTCTGCTCCCCCCCAATTCCACTGTTTCTCATACCGGTAGGGCCCAAGGCCCAAAAGGCCCCTTCCAGGTTGCTTCCAGGTTCTTGAACCCTCAACTCGATACCCTGGGCCACTCCCGGTGGCTCAGGCTCTGGTCCCTGACCCGTCGCCAGGATGCCAAATGCACCGGCGATACAGAGTTGCAGTCCCGCCGCCTTCCTTGCCTCGCCAGGCTTACCTCACTCGTCACTTTTACAACTCTGGCCTCGCCCCTCATCAACAATCAACGTCAGTCCTCATCATCTTGCAGGCAACAAGGAACAGATTGCTCGGTGTCGGAGCAATCTGGCCTCTTCCAAGTCCGGATACGACTTGGCTCTTGTTCGGACTTTTGCTACGCGTCTCTTGTCTCTTTGCCTAGAGCCTTCCCCACAAGTCAACAATACGCTTTTGGCCAAGTCTCGTGATACCCAGCGGACGGCAACCCCTGGGAGACTCCTTGAGTCTCTGCTCACTTTCTCACAATGTGAACTACCAAGACAGGTCAGTGGCCACTGCGGTCAACTTACCGTGTGCCCGCACATTGGATGAAAACAGTAACCTGATCCTCTCCTTTGGATCCAAGCTACGCCGACCCAGACCGGTGCCGCGGGAAACTAACTCTCTCACAGACTCTTGTCATCGACTTTAACACGCAGCTCGGCTCGTCTCAGGACGTCAGCGCTTACCTGTTGCTACAGCTAATGCAGGCAATGGCCCATGTATCCGTACCTACCTCTCGAACAACGGGACTGCGTAGGTTTGTGCCCTGGGTTCCTTCCCGGCCAACCTAAAGCATCGACACCAAGACCGAGCGGATCTTACTTGGTCTTGTTATGCATCGATACTACTACGCACCTCCCTCAACAAGAGACGGTACGACTTTGCGGCGTGTCCTGAACCTAAACTTGGCCGGGCCATTATATCCAAGGAGAGGCTACTCGGCTTTCCAAAAACCGTCCGATTTCTATTCCACCGTCCAGAGGCAAGCTCTTTTTCTTACCTTGTCACCGGGAAATAGCCTAGCTTCATTGGCCCATCTTTGGAATTACTCGTTGAAATGCAAGACAGTGATTGTCTGCAACATCAGTTAGTTAGTCATTGCAACGAACTGCTACTACCCTACGACGCAAGCCAAATCTAGCCACCGTTGGCCGCCTAGAGTAATCCCGACGCAAGAACCGGCGGAAGACGGGTTGGCACGATATCAGCCCGCCGCATTACTTGCGTCCGATGTCAATCATCGGCCCTTTGATAGGCTCCCGCTTCCCTCAACGTCAGGAACAGAACCCGGTGGTGAATGCAACCCTTCCCGCAGATGGTCGTTCACATCTGCACCAACAATACCACCACCGTCGCTACCACCCATCCTTTTCTCCTAGCTAAGGAATCTAGCAATTCATCCAGTCGATCAATTCCTTTCTGTCCGAGTCTGGACCTCAGCCCAGCTTAAGCCTTGCCGTCTGAGCGGGATTAAACAAACCAACCTGCCAGCCTCCTAGGAATCTAGGAAATCGAGATGCGACACTTGATTCTTCAGCCCCGACGTCGCTCCGAATCTCGCACAAACGCCTCCATACCACCACCTCGCCACCTCACCACCTCACGTTTAGTTAGCCTTTTGCAATCGTGTGTCAACCATTCTTGGTCCGGTCGGGTTGCGCAAAGCAGGAATTGACTGTACTGCGTACTTCTCCCAAGTCGGGTATGGGTTGCACAAAGTCATTATGTAAAAATCCTTGCACTTGGCTTAAATTGTGCATAAAGCTGGTTTTTCCATCTGACCTTTGATCGAAACGTACTAGACATCACCTGGACTGCAGCCAGCGGCGGTAACCTAGTCTCCCCCAGCCTAGAGACCAGCTACCAACCCCAAGAGCACCAATCAACGATGGGCCTCATACCACCAGAACTTGGTCTAGGTGCGGGCAACAACTATAAGGTACCTAGGCACAACTAGGCGACTCCGATGTGTGCGTGTGTGTGCATGTGTATGTGTGCGTAAAAATCGCAAATGGTGGACCGAGCGAATACCGAGTGGCAATCTTCCACTTCAATTAGACGTCTACCTAATCACGGGTATTCTAGCCGGTTCTATCCAAGTTCTATCTACAACATATTCTCTACGATCAAAGATTGGACAAGTGTCACTTGAAAGGCCAACTAACCATGGATTCGTCTTCCATATCCTTTCCTTTTGCTTTCCTGAGAGTAGGTATCCCCCAAGAGACATGGGAATTTGACACCGGCTGGTAATCCGGAATTCTGTCCGCCGCGTGGGCTGATTGTCTCACTTCTAAGTCAAAAGAAGGCTTTTGAAGTTGCAGAAAAACAGTTCTGCATCACGCGAAATCTTCTGCCTCACGGGGTTTTTGTCCTTCTGCAAATCACCGAGGTGCTGCGGGTGTCTCGTCCGGAAACCGGATTGTACGACTTGGGAGCTCTGGTGGTGGCGGTGGCGTCTGCACCTGCTGTTGCTCATCAGCCACCTTTGTCTGAGAACCGTTAACGCGTTCTCCGTCTTCGGGGCCTGAACGTTTCTGCTGCTCCGGTTGATCGGTCCGCTTCGTCCAAGGAGGGGCCGCACCCGGCTCGTCCGCGCCCGCAGGCTGCGGAGGGATGACTGAGCCGCCGATTCTGTAGATGGGCCTATTGGCTCCTTCCACGTCGGATTGGGGTTGTGACTGTGACTGCACTCGCGACTCGGTATCGTAGCCCGAGCCTGTCGCTGCTTCGATACCTTGGGATCGTGAACGGCCAAAGGGATACAGTACTCTGCCACGAATGCGGAACGAAGGTCGAGTGGCCTCGGGACCCTCGCCGTCGCCTTCGCCGCTCATGAAAGATATGCCTCTAGAGAGCGAGCGTGGAGCGTAGTAGCCGAGCTTGCCGAGCGGGATGCTCAGCCCGTGTACCACCTATTTGAAACTTCATTTTAGTTCTCGACGATTTGGAAGTGCGTCACTTACTATACTACAGACTGCGAGGAACCAGACGACGACTCTGACTATCTCGGGTAGGTGAGCGACATCTGAACGAGGTTCATCGCCCTCGTTTAGCGTGTGCAGAAACTCGACTGTGACGTAGAGGTAAAAGATGGCCGACACTCCAATGGGGCCGAAGAAGCCCACGAAGATGGCTTGCTTCACCTCCTCGATCTGGGGTATGAAGCGGTGGATGGCGAAGACGAAGGGTAGGCGCCGCAAAATCAATACCAAGATGCCGAGTGGGATGAGACGGTAGATGGGAATCACGTTGTTGTGAAGGAACTCGTTCCACGGGATGACGGCACCGTACCACATGAAGATGGTGACGTTCAAGAGCATATCAATCGTTGGCTGGAAGGAGTCGTCTTCGGTTTCCAAGCGGAACCAATCGTCCCACGTAAAAGCGTTGCCGGCGATGAAGCACGCGAGCACGTCATCGCTGCCAATCATACCGCACGTTCCGACGATGAAGAGCGCCAGGGAGATTGCAAAGACCAGGAAGCTCTCCCTGTCAACATATTTGCGCTTCTCGGCCCATCTGAGCAGCGTCTTTGCGAGCCATCCCACAACGGCACCGTAGATGACGCTGAGGATGATGGTATAGCCCCAGGTTTCACCGAACCACAACCCCATCGCCAAGCCGGCGCCTCCAGAGACCTGCTTGCCGCCGTCACCAATGTACTTGATTAGGTACAAGGCGAAGAACAGAAAGGGGTATCCCAGCCCATCATTGGCGCCGGACTCGCTGATGATGAGATTCTGGAGCTCCGTGGGTATGTTGTGGTCTGCGAAGCGGCCCTTGACGATGACGTTGGACAGCACCGGATCCGTGGGCGTCACGCAGGCGCCGACGGCGAGGGCGTGCAAAAAGGGGATATGCGGCACCAGGGCCCAGACGAGGAGAGACGTTGCGAGCCACATGCAGGTCATGACGGGGCCGACCAGCAGGGCCATGGGCTTCCACTGCGTGCGGAGATACCTGCTGGGCAGCTGAACGCCGGCGAGGACGAGCTGGACGCCGAGGACGAGGCGTGAGAAGGCGAGGGTGACGCTCTCGACATCCTCTTCCGTGCCGGCATATTCCAGCGGTCTGATGAGGTTTGCTGCAGGAGGAGAGAAGGCCACGCCCGCGAGGAGGGATATCACTGGGGTTTTTGGGTTAGCCGCTTGACTGCAAGACGAATCGAGAAAGTGATGTCCTGCATGGCGATCTAGGCGCATCTACTGCGACCCTTGACACCATATTCACCATTGAGGGTCCATTGGGCTGCGAAACACGTGAACAGCGGTGGGACTTACGAGCTTCGGAGAGGTAGTAGTTCTCCTTGCATAAGTATGAGACCAGGCCGAACAGCGAGATCCAGCCACCTAACAAGCCTACGAGGATATTGAAGTTTGTGAGCGCGAGGGTAGGCATCTCGGGCGGCCTTTCTTGAATGTGAGATCTGCTTCCAAAAGTCGAGAATTACTCAAGCTTTCGCCAAGGTGTCTAGTCGGGCTTGCAAAGCTTGGAAGCCTCCACACTTCGTGCAAGTTTGCGTTGTAGGCCCCGCGATCTCGTAGGTGAGATGATCCAATGAATGCGCACGGAAATGCGACTAGGGCCCGGTTCGCCAAGTTTTTGAATCACGAAAAGTGGCGGGTTATCTCTCGGTAACACAAAACGACAGGTATGGCGATACAGAGAGCGCGCGCCTTACGGATAAGAAGGTTCTTCTGATTTCGGATCCGAAGGAGGCCGGAACCAATACCTAGGTTTTCGTGCGGTACGATCCGAGGTGCAGTTTATTCTAGCCAACAGCAGATAGAAGATTGTTATCGAATCGCGGGGTTCGAAGCGTCGTGGACGAGGAGAAGAGTTGCGGCGCTTGCGTGGCTGGCTGTCATTGGGAGGCCAGACAGGATCAACAACTTTCGTGGCGATGATGGTTGCTTCTTTGGATCTTCTCTCTGCTACCAAGAGATGGCGGTCTGCACGCCTTTGCGGTTCTGGGGGGGTCTTGAGCTTCTGTCTGCCCAATGGGTTCCGAATGCGGTGCGCAGATGCGGGCGGCCGAGTGAATACGTAGGCCGTGTGGGAAGTCTTGGGTGAGGAAGGTCGCGATGTAAGGGGAAGAGAGGTTGAAGTGAAAAAAGAAAGGTGGCGGCTCGGCGAGGATCCAATGCAAGTGCTATGGTTTTTAGATATCGGGGCGAACGCCGCCGAGCTGTAGCCCGGCCCTTGTTTTTTTATCATCACCGCTGGTTTGGCGAAGCGGGAAGGAGGGGTGTCCCTGGTCCCCTGCTAGGATACCTAGGGTATGTGTTTGACCCGATGAGGTATGGCTCTTGGAAAGTAAGTATTAGAGTGAGATGATGGACGCTCAGATTTGCGATGATGTGGGGTACGCAGAGTGCAGCTGTTTTGCACAGAATGGGGAGGAGAGGCACGTCCTATGCGCTGGACATTTCCTGCCTTCCTGAATAGTGACAAACTATCTTAAATATACAAGCTTAAACGGCGCTTTTTTGTGCTTCTGGTTAGCAAGACCGGATCTCGTGTGATGCCCAGAGACCAAGTTGACCCAAGTTATATCTTGCAAAATATCTCTTCGAGTCTCTTTCTAGTCGACGGGAAACGATGCCTTCCTGGCCCTACAAGACTGTTATTGAACAAGTGCAACAAGGTGACAAGTAAACTAATTAGATAGTTTCTCGGGACTTCAAGCCGGTGCCAAGAATCTAGATCCCTTCTGCGCCTTACCTTCCGTTCCCTTCCCCCCAGGCGCTCTCCCCTCTCTCGCCCTCTTGTCTCTAAACCCATATTCTCCAGCCTCAAGAACCTCGCCAGCAATCCACAAACGCCCACAGAAACGACAACGTGGGGGGCGTAGAGAGGGAGAGAGACACCACAGAGTAACGAAAAGAATACCCGAATCACATTAGCTCTAGGCAGAAAAACAGACACACGCGCGCGCGCACACATAGGTAGAGCCACGAGTTTAGTATGGTCTCATAAACCGCCACCATGCTTATGAGACAAAAAGTGTTTTTTCCAAGACCATCACATTCGCGCCGGCCTGCCGCGGAAGCAACGGGAGAGGGAGAGAAAAAAGGGTTCCCAAAGATAAAGATATTCTGCCCTTGGAGAAGGCAGAAAATCCTACGTAATGAGACAGAGATACTATTCGTAGGTAATCCAACGTCGGTGGCACGTTTGAGTGTCTAGGAGAGGGAGGGAACTTGGTCGAGAGGGGATGAAAATCAGCCGAGGATGGATATCTGCCGTATCTGGGACATAAAACTACTTAAAAAAAGCAGAAACGGAAAACAGAACAGTTGAATAAAACATCCGTTAGACACTTGCCCCTGTCATTCGACTTCCGCCACGAAACAAAACATTCGTTAATGGTCTTCTTGCATGCATAGTACGCCTCCAGGTCTGTACCGTAAACATCTTTTGGTGGACCACAACAATACCAGATATACGATCCGCCATTGAAACATAATTACAGGATCAAAGGCTGAGAAAAGTCTTAAGAAGATGGGGATATTGACACAAGCAGAATCGTCACCATGCAATCAACCGTAGCCGCATGCGCCCGAAACGCCCCTTTGACATGACCGTCACATCAAGTCAACGACCCTTCACAAGTATGGCAATATTCAACATCGCCCGCATCGCTGCTGCAGACCCGTAGTGCGAGGGGTCGGAGCTTTGTCCGGGTATCGTCGATTGGCGCGCAAGGTCGCCTTCTGTTGACCCCTCCGACTTACTGACACATCGTATCCTATGCTATCGCTACCAAGCCGGCACATCGTAACATGACTTACGCGTGCTTTGCAGGATCATAATCATCCTCATCCGACTCTAATTTCGAGCCTATCAGTGCTGCCTCACTTGAGCTTTCTTCTTGACTTCGTTGGCAAAGTCTTTCTTGCACCGGCCGTGGCGAGCTCATCCGCAGCCCTGTTGCCTACAGATGTTGGGTCTTCCTTTGTGGTGTGAGCCTTCACCCAGTCGATGCTCGTTATTGTCCCTGCAGCCTCTCGTCTGTTGAGATGATCGATTATTGCCTTGATCAAGTCCTGGTTTTTGACGGATCCTTTCCAAGTCTTCCAGCCGTTGGCCATCCACTTCTTGCAGTCGCGAGTGACGCAGTTCTTTGCGTATGCGCTATCCGTCCAGATTTGGACATCCTGCGTGACCGAGGTGTACTCGAGTGCTCGAAGGACGGCGGTAAGTTCTGCTCGCTGATTCGTTTGTGGTTCACCTTCGAGGGGTTCAGATATGTTCCTAAATGCGTCTGGGTCAGTCCGCTGCCTCTGGCCTGTTGAGGAAAAGATGTAGGAGAACTACATCACCTCGACTTTGTTTGAGAATGAACATGGCGGAGGAAGGCAAGATGTAGTTGAGGACCTGCTTACCTTGCATCGTTGGGTCCGAAGTAGACGCCTACGCCGCCCCTGGCAGAGGGAGTACCGTTGCCCGCCGTAGCTCCGTCGATATAGATTTGCGGCAAGTTCAGTACCTCCGGTTTCACGGAATCGTCTTCAGATTCCTTCTCCATCTCCTCCTCCACCCCATCATCGTTCTCCTTCTTCACCTTCGTGGCCTTCGTTGCGGCGCTGGTGGCTGGCTTCCTCGGCAGAACCTTGATACCCGCATTCAGGGCGCCGGCCTCAGCACCGGCAATCGTTTCCTCATTGCCCCATTCCCTAATGAACTCCAACGCGCCGGTGTATGTGTCGAATCTCTTATATTTAGGCCCTTTGGCATCCTTGATCGCTAGGGAAACCGTATCCCAGTCGTTGACGAAGATGCCCGTGAAATGACCACGCGCGACGGCATAGTATCTCGGAGGAGCGGGCTTTTCCCCGGCTGGCGCTGGTACGAACTTTCCTTCCACAAAAGCCTGAGCCTCTTCGCGTGTGAAGAAAGACTTGTCTAGAAAGCAGCCTCTGTCAGTCGCACCGGTCAAGAAGGCCTCCAAACTCCACAGTGGTATGGTCAGTTATCTTCACATACATATTGCTCCTTTTTGATGAGCAGTCTGCTTCTGGCATTCGAGCCAAGTCAAATATACACCTGGCCGGAGACCGACACGCACAGCGTAGTATCTCTGCAGGTCCTTGTCCGCCTTGCGCTTCCTCGATTTGTCCGCAGGCATGTCGACGCGCTCGTTCAGGAAGCTTGCGTGAAGCTGTAGGGTGTCACGGCAGCCGTTGCGGATGTCGCCCGGTCTGCCTCGCCAGGTCGTGGCGTTTCGTCGTCTTAAAAGTACCGATGAGAGAAGGCGACAGCTTACAGAAGCTCGGGGATGAAGTTCGTCCACAGCTTTTGTCCAAAGAGCTTGAAGTCGCGAGCGCATATGTCGTGGTCGTTACAAAGCTACCTGGTTGGTGTCGCGTAGTTCAAGAGAGTCAAAGGCGACTCATGCTGGTGGCTAGAAGGGTCTCGAAAGCTGCAGTTCCAGGGCCGTTTCCTCAGCGGTTGCCTTTGTTCGTGGGCGCATGCCGAAACATGTAACGGGAAAAGAGTGAAGATTGCGGCAAGGGCTGGTGACGAGGGGACCACTTCAATGGATGAGAGTATGGATCAGTTCTTCCAGTGCGGGCCTTTCTCACTAGGCGCGCCGATAAGATAAGGCGCATCTCTTCCCCGCAGGAAGCACGACCGCTGTAAAGCTTGCCGACCCTTAGCGCAGTCTGACTCTGTACCTAAGCACACACCGTGCTATTACCTACCTTATTCTGTATTTACTTGTATTACTTTTGTAGGGCAAGTGAGTGCAGGCTGCAGCCAATACCACTTGGATGCGGGTCTTATATCAGCTGGAACTCTTTCCCAGCGGTTGTTCTTATGTGACTCTGGGATTTTAGAGAGTGAAGGGGTATATCTTCCCTCAACCACTGCTCATCACAGCAACTATGGACGATGAAGACTTGATATAAGTTGCTTGGGCATTGCTAAAGTTGCCGTCTGCTACAAATGAGACAGCATGGGTATAATTCCTGACCAGCCTACCGTCACACGACTCTCGAATCTCCCTCATCCCGTCAGACATTCCACGGGAGCTGAAAGGACTATCTAAACCCTCTGCTAGCCCTTCCAACCAATTTCTCAACCAAATACAGTAGGTAAAATGTAAAGCGCAAAAGCCGCCTACCAGCTGCCTCAGAGCTTGGGGTACAGGGTGTATCGATACTAATGCATCGAGACTACCGTCAACTTCCACAATCGTTGGCATCCCGGCACACAAAGACTGTTCTGGCCTAGGCCGGTTTCCCGACCATAAGCACCAAGGTATCGTCGTAAAGTCCCATGGGGACTAAGCATGGACTCTGTGATCAACCGGCGGCAAAGGTCCCACGCAGTCGCTCGATTCCCACTCCCACGCCAACAAGCTCCAGTTCAGCTCACGTCTCCAGAAGAGGCCAAGACCCTCGCCTCCACCGCAGTTCTCCAGCTCGGGATGGCCATGTCCTCGATCTTCCGAGCACATGCCCCCAGTAAGTGGCATGCGTTGAGCGAAGACGACCTTGCCCATCCGCGAGTGAAGGATAGCCATCGAGCATTGGACGCAAGGCTCGTGAGTTAGGTACATCTCCATACCGTGGCACAGGTAGCCGTCCGCGTTGGGATGCTCGTCTTCATGGACCGTAAGCTCGTCTTCCAAGAGCGGAAGATCTTGAAAAGTGTCGTATTCAAGGATAGCCGGCACGTGGGAGCGGCCGGCTGCACGTCTCTCGTGTCGCACAAGCTTCTGCGCCACCATGCTGATAGCTCTGAGCACGCAGTGACCCATGGGGTTGCCGGTACCGCTTCTATTGGGCTCCTGGTGCCAACGAGCATCTCCGGCAACCGCTACGAGGTGGGATTTTCCCCCTTCGCGCTGGACGATGACGGCACCCATGGGTTCACCGATACCCGCCTTCTTTGCCTGGAAGGCGACACGATGGGCCAAGGTCATCCACAGAGATGTCTCATCCTTGATGGTTTCCGTTGATCGTCCCACCATGCTAGGGTGCGGTCCAAGAGGGTTGTTCTTTCTATACACCGTAGGCCAGAACTGCGAGGTCCACATAGCTGCCTGCACCTGAGAAGTAGGCGGTACCATGGGAATCGGAATCTTGGTGAGGAAGACGCTCTCATCCATTCCTTCGATGGCTCCCAGCTTTGCGACCAAGTCGTGCTTATCGAAGTCTTTCTCTTCACCAAGCATGATGTAGATCCAGGTGGATTTACCCGTGTGGACTTGGCGGCCTTCGGGGGAGTCGTTCATGAACTGTGTTTTGAGATGAGCCGGGATATCCGCTGGCTTCGCACATCTTCGCAAGTGAGGCAAGTTGTTAGCCACGCCTTCAGGGAGCATCGAGCGGATCAGACTAGAGTCAGGTTAGTATGTGATAGAAACGTGATGACTGCTACTCACTTGACGACATTGTTAGTAGACGTAGATGGAGCCCTCGTGATCAAAGCCTGAACAATGGTGTGGTCTTGTCGGATTTCCAAAGTCGTCTTCAGAGGAATAAGCACTCCTCGGCCAAGTTGTTGTGGAAGCAGGTGGTCGATGAGAGCATGGGGCTGGATGACATCAGGTCCAGTGTGCTCGATCTTTTCCTCAGATTGATCGTCAGGCCTATCAGAGGCCATAGCCGGCAGCGAGGCGCGTCCGACAGCGAGCATCTTGACTGGTGATCTCCCTTCCAAGATTTGGGCCGAAAAAGCAGGAACTGGTGTTTTAGTCGGTATAGATGGGGGTGCGTCACGCCAAAGCCGTGACTCACTTCAACAAGAAAGTTATCGTATCTCGACTTCGGCCTTCCGAGGCACAGGACGACCGACAGAGAGGGCTACGGAGATAGCTGCCGTGTACCGCTGTGGCGTGCTGTGAGCGAAGTGTGGATCAACAGACGACAGGACGACTGAAGTAGCTCCACGATGGTTTCCTGAGGAGTAATGTAGTGCCTTGGGTGAAGAGTCCAGTCAGAAGCCTGTCATCAAAGGTTTGCTGCTGGAATCTGATGCGGCTCGTTTGGCTTTGACGTTGTCAAACAGGGTCAAGATCGGACGTAGCGGAGAGTTTGCCGAGCAGTCAAGAAAACAGAATGATGACCAGAGAAGATTTCCAGTCAAGTCCTTGTGCGACCGACGGTTGATGTAGGTGGCACACCTAGTTCCTTCTTGAGAAAGAGAGATATGGCGTCGTGTCCTCGATCACCAGCTGTTCTACCCCCCTTCCTCCGTGCTGTGAGGGCTGGATAATTCTGTAAGGGAACGACAGGCCAGCGCAATTACCGCAGTTGGTAGGGACGAGATGAAGGAGGCTGCGAAGTTGCTTTTGGTCCAAAGTGAGGTGCACTCATGTAGTACCTTGAAGCAGAACCCAGTGGAAGGAAGTCACGAGAAGCAACTTGATGATGGGGCCCACACTGCCTCAGGAAGCTACTTTGGAAGGCAGAGCCAGGACGAATGAAATTGTGACCCAGGACGCTGACCTGGAAGGCGCGGAAAGGAAGGCACCCGACCTGCACCTTCAGCTGCTCTTCTGCTCTTGCCTCAGATCAGATCCTGTTCACTTCCAGCCCCGAGCTGCTTTGTTTATCTCCTTCCGTCCTTTGACTCTTTTGCAGCCTTGTAGACAAACTTGATTCTCGGTCACTTCTCTAGAAAGATTGTGTGCGGCGCACAAAGCCTTCCGTCGATTCAGGAGGCAAGTTGAGGTGCAACGATATTTGCCAAGATATCTGAAAATGCGCCAGATATTATTGAAACCGCTGATTGGCGGGTCCAAATATCTCGTTCGGAGAGTCTCAGCGTTGGTATCAGTCTCAGCCTCAGCTTTCCATCTATAGATGAATTCAAGACGGATGTAACCCAAAGACTTGAAGATCAATGTTCTGCCGGGTCCTGAAACAGCAGGGTCCAGATTTGGGACCAAACAAAGAAACGAGAACAGAGGAAAGAAGCCCTATCGGATTAGATGGCGTCGTTGTTTAATGGATAGTGTAGCTGGAGGCCAAGAGGATCCGGATCTGGAAGTGGTTTGAGCTGTGGTATCGAACGGAGGGGACCGAAGTGAAGCATCAGAAAATTTGGCGATCTATTTGACAGACTGGATCCCAGTAGGCCAGGCGTTGTCAGGCACAGAGAGCCCCTAGTCGAATCGGGTTGCAGAGGCAGAGCCGCTAGCGGGGTCTAGGGTCTTATCGATAAAGTGACAGGCTACTCACGCACCTCGGTGTAGCCAGTCCGGTCCTAGCAGTGACCACTTCGCCGACGGGACGTTTGGATTGTGCCTGCGACGTCTAAGGTATTTCCAGATTCGTGACATGGGGGTAAAGAGCGGGGCGACTGTAAGAATACCTAGCATTTGCATGGAGAATCTCTTTGGCAATCACCACCAGGGAGTTTCTCTCCCGTTCTTGTCCATAGTGTTTGGGCAACTTTCATACTTTCCCTTAGAGTTGTGCTTTCTCTGGAGAGATCAAGAGGCAAGAGAAGAGCGGGAAGGCGCGAAAGCCCAGGGAGATCACATCTGTAACCATGGGGAGGAGGGGATCGACTGAAGCAAAATACCCAGCGACTGGAGAAGGAGCTGGAGAAGACTGGAGAAGGCATGGAACGTGAGAGGCAAGAGGCGACTAGGGAGAAGCACTTCCACCACTGAAACTAACCGAATACCTCTTACAGACCCATCAGGATGAACAACGCGAAGCAAGACAAAACCTCACCTTACCTCACCTCACCAAAAACACTCACCGGTCGGGCCTCACCTCTCTTAAACGATGGTTCCTTAGAGGTAAGTCCACACATTCCATACCCCCGGTTGAGCTCTTTCAACAGAGATAAGCTTCTAATTCTGTAGTTTTGGTTGGTTCTTTTCGCAGTGCACTGTCTCATAACGCCTGAGCAAGCCAAGAGGGGTAGACAAGTCGACTTTTCGGCTCTCATCCTCCGTGCCAACATGCCTCAATCATGGATCATCTCATTGGTTATCAACATTTGGTCCGTGGCAGAACGAGTCTCACAAGCCAGACTGTGTTCTCTCTCAAAGGTGCCGCATCTGAATTAGAAATGCAATCGCCCAACGGTAACTCGACCCCATGTGTGAAGGGCCCATCGCCTATTTCCCAATCTCCGATGACGGCACGCCCTCGTGGCCGGCCCCCGCCGGCCGCGACTGCAAGTCATACCCATCGCTAAACGCTCTTGCAAGGTCGCAGTCGCAATGCGTGTCGGCCGTATCTCCTCTCCGCACTACGCTTCAAATGACGCTTTCGCCATCGCAGATCCAGCAAGCGTTCCTTGACATCTTGGCGAGAATGCATCTGCGACGGAGCAGTTGGTCCCTTGATTGTCGTTGAGGTGGCCATGACAGTGGGCTTCTAGAAAGCGAACGGCAAACCCTGCCGCGAACCCCTCACGATGCATGCGGGGTCAGCAGCAGAAGCGGAATAGACTACCAGAGACTAATAACGCCTAAACTTCGACACCTGGTGGAGACCACAGAGTGGCGGCGCGGCGGCAATAGCAGAAACGAGGAGTGCGAATGAGGGCCGCGCCGCCGGCGTCTGGAGCACCTGGAATTGCCAACCCTCCCCTACACACTAGAGATATGGGAGCTGAGAAGTCACAAATGTCTTTGCTGCAGCCCGCATCCTGCAGTGTAACAGGAGAACCTTCTGCAAAAGAGTCTTGGAGTGGGGGTACCACGCCAAATTCCTCCTTCGTCATCCATGCCCAGTCCCTGTTTCTGGCGTGAAGCATAAAAGCAACCTCCGAACTGGACTGTTGAAGATGATTGGCCGCTGCGGTTGAGTTACCAGTGGTCATTGGCATGGCGGGATGACTGGGCGTTGGGTGGAAGCCTCACTCGCCCCGAGAACGATGACATGGCGCCCTCAGACTTTGGCGGGACATACGGATCACTATCCCGCCATTCTGCAGGTTGTTTTGTGTATGTACAAAATCGGGCTTACCATGGGCTTTTCCGTTTCACAGGGGCAAGATCTCAATGTGCTCGAAGGGCATATGGGTGACATCACCGCCCAGACCTGAGTGAAAATGAGCATCATGAGCCATCTTTCTTTGTAGAAATGTCTAGGAAGATCGGGCTGGCTGGTGTTTGGCAGTGACAGAATGCTTGCTGTCAAGACTCAAATGCAGCCCTGGCATCCCCACAACATATCGAACAACTGGTAGGGGTTCCGTGAGGGGTTCACAGGTTCGCCAGGAGCGCAGCGGATCCTTGGTGGGAGCGGATCTCCGGGGGCGTGGAGGTTCCTTTTCCAGCCTCCGGACTTCGGGGTGATTCCGACAGAAGGTCAGCCCAAGCGCTAGGTGAGTTGTTGCAACGCCAACAGAATATGTAATGACCATCACCGGCACGCGACCCTGGAGATGGTGTGTGTCAAATCATGCTGTGCACCCTTCTCGGAGACGCCTTGTTGAGCGCCGCCGGAGACTTGTTGCAGCACATCGGAGGGATACCTGTTGCTACACCCACTATTGGATAGTACCTACTCATTCAGCAAGAAATAATCGAGAGAGGTAACCTCGAAAAGGGGCTATCAAAGCTAGGTACGTGGTCACCTAGAAATGGAACAAGGCGATCAACCGCAAGGATAAGCTTTGGGCAAGTGTCGAAGGCGTGTTGGCGAGGGCTGATGTGAGTGGTCTATTCCAGTTGGCTTGGCTGAGAGCTGGAATGCTTGAGAAAGATGGGATGGTTGTAGAATAGCTCTGGTGCCGGCACAAGTTGATTCAGGAGGGGACTTGGCGGCCGATTACTATGGACATCTGAGTCGTGAAACATTTGGGTGGGAAGGGAAGTGGAAAGGGCAGAACGGATCGACGGGGTATCTCCGACAAGCCCGGTGAGCGAAGCGCAGCAAAGCAAAGCCAGGCCAGGCCAGGCAGGCCACACCTCGTACAGCACCCAAGCGCTGAGCGAGCGGAACGGTGAGAAGCAGGAAAGAACTGACGTGGGACTTGGCTGTCCGAGTTACATTGTCCGTATTACGGGCACTTTTTCTTCTCCTCGACTTTCCATGTCTGCAGGAATAACATCACCCACGGAGTTAAGGTCAGGTATGCTCACGGGCAACACGGTACACGCACACAGACCGGGCGGACCAGACGAGCATGGAGGATGGAGCACGGCGACACGGAGGGCAGGACCCAGACATACGGGGAGACGCAAAGGATGGGGCCGGCCGTCATGACGGTGTTTGGGGATTTAATTTTGGACGACGGGACGGAGGGTTTGTGTTTGTTGAGGTTCTTTTTTTTTGCTGTACTGTAACGGGCTGTGCTGGTGCACGGAAACGTATGTGGCTCTCTCTCAACCCGCTGTGCTGGACAATTCCCAATCCATGGTCCATGGCCAGACGGCGATTGTCAGGACTCCTGTCCAGGTCCAGGCCCAGGTTGAGCTTGAGCCTAAGCCTGAGCTTGAACTTGTACGAATAGTAGCTTTGGATAGGCATGAATGGCTTTAAACTTGGCGGACGGAAGATTGACGTGGGACATGGACATGGGACAAGACCGAGGGCGTGGGCGGATGGGCTTCTGGCATTGGACCAAGACACCAATAGGTAGCGTACCCGGGGAGCGAGCTCCCGAGTCCAGAGTAAGGTGAGGTAAAACAGACCGTGGACACGTACGTCCAGCAATAGAAAGGC